GGGGGGGGGGGGGGGGGGGGGGGGGGGGGGGGGGGGGGGGGGGGGGGGGGGGGGGGGGGGGGGCACAACCGCAGCAAACTTTTAGCCCAACGCTTGTGAGATACACAATCCAGGCAGGAGCCCTCTGGCCTAAAAAAACGAACAGGTTGTTTTCATGTGGGCGGGGAAGGGGAGCATAGAAAACCTTCATGGGTATTTATTAATAGTTTCCGTTGTTCTTGCACGTACTCGTCGTGGGCCTTCGTGTGGCAGACAACAACTACAACAACAGCAGTCAATGTTGCTTGTTGTGCTCCCGCCCTACTCTCTGTCTCTGTCTCTGTCTCTGCCTCTGCCTCTCCCTCCCTCCCCCTCCCTCTCCCTCTCCCTCTTGTCTGTTTGTCTTGTCTGTCTGTCTCTCACCTGCAACATGCCGCATTTGGTCGGGGGGTGCGCCTTGTCCAGCTTCTCGCGGAAGAGGTCGGTGATCATGGTCGAGCACTTCCTCTTAGGCTCCGGGTGTATCGAAGCAAACTCCTTGCGGTAAAGGTCTCTTTCGATCGACAGAGGAAGGTGCTTAAAGTAGTGGACCTTTTCGTGTCGTGCCGTGCCGTGTCGTTTCATGCCAAGCCAAGCACAAAAAACAACGCAAACAATGAGCAAGACTTGGGTACATAGTTCAACAGTCACGGTGTGCTTGGATAGCGAAAAAGCGCATGTCCTGCTCGATCGACAGAGGAAGTTGTTCCCCCGTTTTGGGGTAGTTGGCTTGTGGCCACGGAAGGCGCCCGCGTCAGCTGGACTGGTACGGACATTAGAAGGTACTGCGCGGAGACCGGAACGGTTTTTAATGCCAAGACAGCAAACAATAAACAAGACTTGGGTACATGGTACAACAGTCACGGCGTGCTTGGTCGAGCGAACAAAAACAACGCGCGCATAAAAAAAAACTACCCAAATATATGAAAAGAATGAATCATCCTCGATGGACATTTGAATATTGTACCCTGTCTAGAAGGGGGTCAAAAGCGAACAATGAAAATATACGACTTGATGGCACATTGTAGAGAAGTCATGGCATGTGCTTGGTCGACAGCAGAGAGACAGGATCGATTTTTTTATTGGATTTGATGGATCATGCCGTGGCGCCCGTGTTGCGAACGAGTTACATATATATATATATATCGAAGCACAACGTTAGGCAACAGGGAACCGTCTTCGTTGTTGTTGCCTCAACATACCCGAAGTACCAAGCATCCGACGGCAATCGAATCATACATACTACCGCGCACGTTGCGGATAACCTTGGAACATAACGCAGAAGAAGCGGGAGAAACACGACAGACGGAACGAGGCGCCAGAGAGTCACACAAAAAAAACGCTGAACCGCCAATTCGGTGCCAAGACGTTCGAGCAGACTCCCGTCACGATACGCACTATTCTCATCCCCATTTACTGCATTAAAGAATCCACAGGGCTGCCGTATCTACCTACGCAGTAGTCACCTTGCGGATGAAATAGAAGCAGAACATGAGGACCACGAACCAAAGCCCACTGGCGATGCCAAGCAGAACCACTCCCGCCATCGGGTTTTGCCGAACTGGCACTGCGGACCCCGGCGCCAGCGGTGCCAGCAGCTGCGCTCACCATTCGTGGAGAGGTGCCGTTTCGGAAAAGACCGGGGTTTCGCCGCAAGGCGACATAAGCCATGGGAGGGGGGACAACACCGCCGGGGGCGACCGTGCGTTTGTTAGCCAAGGGGTTGTAAGCTTTGGGGCTGAAAACCTGCAGTAAACCCACGACAGTTGAGTGCACGACGTCATGAAAGCCAACAACAAACAGCAATAATACAATTATTAAAACAAGACATGAGAGAAACCCACCTGCGTCATGTTACCCATCGCAGAGAATATTTGGTAGACCGCGATGAAGAAGAGCACCGTGGTCTCCAGCTGGTGGAGAAGGTACAGCCCGTTCTTGCGGTACCTAAAAATAACATCAAATCATTTCCGGGAACCCGCATGTACGCAAAAACACAGCATGAACAACACACATCCAGAGCTCTCACGGTGAGCTGGTGGCACATGTTTTATCCACATTAAGTAGTTCAGGATGTACATACTTCACGCAACACATGGCACTCTTGTCTGGCGAAATATTACATAGTAATAGCTGAGCGTAGAGGCCGCTTTTACGGTGGTGGTGTCCACGCGTTCCGACACAGCAGCATGACGAGACGCGCGGTATGCAGCCTGTCCTTCCAGCTTCAAGCCACCGCGCGTCAGTGGACCCAAGCTGAGCCCGTGCACATGTACAGGTGGGTCAACTGCCCGGTCTCTTCACACACCCCGACATCGTACTCCGTTCTGCAAACCTTTATCGTCAGAGGATGTTGAACTTGGTGTGTTCTCTACGCACCACGCATCGCACAAAATGACCTTGATCCCCAGCGCGAACGCGTGGCCAAAACGGCAACCACATGTGCCCGGGCACGCGCTCCCAAAGACACCAAGAGTCTATGCACAGATTTGTAATTTTTCTCTCGAGGTGGCTGTCCAAGTCAAAAACACGCCTAACGACAATAACACCGGAGCTAGAATACGGAGGCAATTGCGCAGCTTAGCCCATCCGAAAGAACACCAGTAACAGCGATCGTCCACTCGGCATGCCTGCATGGAACATGGTACCTCATGGCATGATACAGCAGTCGGAAGTGCCCAAAGAAGAACCACCAGAACCCGATGAACGCCAGCAGGAACGCGAAGAACACCTGCACGGGCGATAGCGCGTCAACGCCAAGTAAGTCGCACAAAAGACATGACATCAACTTTTACGGCCATCGCGACAAGCTCATATCAAATATTTACACACGGTACAGCCGTAGTATGCGGTTACGCTGGTCCCAACCATCATGCACGGTGCTCCAAAAAGCGCAGGCACGAGGCGCCACAAAAACAACACCTTGACTTCATAAGACACACCTCTTTACATGCGCACTATATGTATACAGCCTCCAGAGCGGGGCGCACATCTCACCCACATCAGACACAAACAAACTCACCCACAGAGGGTAAGACTGCGGGGGTTGAAATCGCCGCCGATAGACAAGACTGCTGTGAAGGGAGGTGAAACGTGCAGCAGCAGTCTACGCGGCAAAAATTGACCAAGCAAACACATGGAATAAAGTGTTGAATCCTTTAGGGTTAGGAAGAGGGTTAGGGTTAGGGTCTGCGTGCCCCCTCCCTATTCTTTTTCTAGATACTCTTGAAAATCCCAGTCGTGGCTGTAATATAGAGGGTGGTGTGACGAAGGTCCTCAACCCTCACATATCGAAGCCCCCTCTTACACCGGAATAATAGAGGACCCAACTATACCACAGGGGGTCGAGTTTGTCACAACCCATTCCGACCCTCTTACATCGGAGCCACCTCGAACAAAGCACCCTATCTTATATTGGAGCCAAGAATGTTATAGCAGCATGTCCGATTAGGACTCTTACGGAGAATTCATTTGGGTTGCAACCCATTTCGACCCTCTTTGATCGGAGCCACCTCGAACAAAGTACCCTCTCTTATATATCGGAGCCAAGACTGCTGTAGCAGCATGTCCGATGAGGGCCTCTAAGGAGAATTCATTTGGGTTGTTTAAGGATCTCGATATCGTTGCCGCGCTCGAGTATACTGCTGTGGATCGAGAGAAAAAAAACTTGCCTGGTCCTCCTTGGGGGAGGGCGAGATGAGAGACGTCACCACCGCGGCGCACATGTTGAACAGCAGCGTCCACACCAAGAAGTGCCAGAAGTGGTACGCAAGCCAGATGAACCTCCGCTTGTCCTGTGACGAGAGAGAGGAGAGAGGGGGATAGAGAGAGAGAGAGAGAGAGAGAGAGAGAGAGAGAGATACAGACAAGACAGGCAGAGACAGAGACAGAGAGACACCCAAAGAGAGAGAGAGGGGACAAAATAAACAAAAACATGATATGTGAGGGAGCGCACTTGTTACACGTGTCAGGGTCTTGCGAGGGGCTTCCGCAGGGTGCGAATACGCCGTTGTGGTGGTGGCGACGGTAATGGGGTGACATGTCTTTGTGTACCATGTTGGGTTTGGTTACACTTCACCCAGATGGCTACCTCCTCCAAGCAAAAACACCAGCAGAAGAAGACCTTGCACGCGCACGAACGTTGATGGCCATCTCCTCCAACCAACAACCCCAATATGCCAAGCACGCGATCAAACGTTTTCACGACCATCTCCTCCATGTAACGACACCAACACCAAGCACACAATCATTTTTTTGATGGCCATCTCCTCCAATCAACAACACCAATATACCAACCACGCAATCAAACGTTTTGACGGCCATCTCCTCCATGCTACATCAACACCAAGTGTGCCACCAAACCTTCAGGTGAACATCTCCAAGCAACAACATCGACACCATGCATGCAATCAGACCCTCTCATGACCACCTCCCCCCAGAGCAACAACACCAACACCAGGCACCCAATCAAACCTTGACGACCATCTCCTTCCAAGCAGCAACAGCAACAGCAGGCACCCAATCAAACCTTGACGGCCATCTTTCCCAAGCACCAACAGCAACATCGTGCATATTGCGTCTCCAAAACTGAAACAAAAAAAACAAAAACATACAGAGCATCATCACCAGGACGAACCTTGATTGCCATCTCCTCGAACTTCATGTGCAGGAACGGGCACGCCTTGGGCCAGTTCTTTCTGTCGTCGGCCGTCTCCGAGGTCGGGGGGAACTGCGTGGGAATGCCGCTGTCATCGTCAGAGGCCGCTTCCTGGTAGTCTTCCACGTCGAAAGGCTGATAGCTCACGTGCGCCCCTGGTATACATGGTCGGATTGGAGGGGGGGGGGATCGACAGATTTTCACCAGTGCTCACACACAGCGCATTTATTTCTACCGACGTGGCGTTCCATTTCGGCGGTATGTTGTCCTCCGCGTCGAAAGGGTGGTGGCTCACNGGGGGGGGGGGGGGGGGAGATCGACAGACTTTCAGATCGACAGACTTTCAGATCGACAGACTTCATCACTACACATCAGCGGTCACACATACCGCATTCTACTTTGAGAAGTAACCAGAAACGGGTATACCCGGACGGATTATCGCCATTTCAGGGTACACTTGGAAATCAACGCGACACCAATCTCCGACAGCATCCGCCGTAGATCGTGGCGAAACCAATAAACCGCCTCTGTCAACCCCAACCAACCGCAACGCCGCCCGCACCTCTCCGAACACGCCTCCACTTCTCCGGCCCGGCGGAGATGTCCGAGGTCTCCGACGCGGCGTAATCCGTGCTGGATCGACCCCCGCCGTAGCTCTGCCTGTTCAGGCGCGACCGGCTCGCCTGGCTCCCGCTCTCCATCGCGTCGTACGCTCCGCCATCGTCTGATGAGAAAGAGAGCGCCATAGACCATCGGCAGGGGGGGGGGGGGG